ATATATATATATATATATATATATATATATATATATATATATAACCTAGACTATGTAAATGAATATAAATTATTTTATTATAATAATTAGAATAATATATTATTGTTATCGATGTTTATAATAATAAAATTCTTTAAAATAAGGCAATAAAAATATATTTTTAATATATATATTATTTTGCCTTAAATTCATTACTGTGGACCACTAACGTCTTGTACAAGTAAGAATATTAACATAAAAGCCAAAAACTGAGCTGTAAATTTCTTCCTAAACAATTAATAAAATAAATGTATTTGAAGGGTTAATTTTGTTGATTGTAAAGAATTAGAAAGGAAAGAATTATGTTAACGAGTAATTTTAAAGATTGGAATAAGACGAATAGCAGTGAATAAAGTGATGACAGAAAAGAAGAGCGTGTGAAGAAGGTCAACGGGAGAATAATAGAAGTCATTGGAGTTCTCGTCACGGTGGGGTTCCCAACGAAGTTACATCGAAATCAACAGGACCTTCATTCAAACCCTTTCACAATCTCTCTTCATTCATTCATTCTTCGTCTTCTTCTTCAGTTTCAGATCGCAGAGAAACACACTCCAATAAGACACTCGTCACTGCAGAGAAAAACAAGAGAGAGAAATTATGGAAGGTGAATTTTGCGAGTGCAGACCATTGGGTTTCGTGATTGGATTACCCTTCGCTCTGCTTTCATTGGTTTTTTGTCCTGTAGGTGCTGTCATCTGGCTTCTTGGGTATGTAACTTTTTCCATTTTCTCTACCTTTTTTCTCATTTATTTCCCTATTTTCTATTGGTTCATATGTAAGACAAATTTAATAACTAAATAGTCACAATATGAAGTGATTTTAGATTGATATTCAATCCCTACGAACTTTCTTCTGAGACACGTTTATCTTAATAATATGAGTCAATAAACTTACAATATTTACGTATATATATATATGATTGTTTGTATTTGAAATTACTGTTATATTGAGTCTCTGTATGATTTCTTTTTATCCCATGTAGATATAAAATAATTCCGTATTTAATATATTATGGTATGCTTTCAATATGAATTGTCATGAATAATAAATTTATTAGCTTTTGTAATTACTATATTTGAATATAATTTTTTGTTATGGCAATGCAGGTCAATAATGAGTTGTTTGTGTCCATGTTGGAAGTGTTGTGGAGAAATCAGCAACGTGGGTGTGAGTCTTGTAAAGTTTCCAATTAGGGTTCTTACATGGTTTATAGAAAAGATTCCTTGTTGATGGTGGTTTAATATTTTTTTTATTTGATTTAATGTGAAACTCATATTTTATGAGTGTTTTATGTGGTCTCAGTAATTTATATTTAATTTTTATCATTTTTTATGACGTCTTCTAAATCGTTAATGATAGAATATACATGTGAACAATGACTAAATGACGTGTTCGTTTTTTACATGCGTGACTCATCTAAGTACTCAACAATTTGATTCTTGCTACCACCTTCCTATATTCTCTCAATGTCCTCGATTAGGTTCTCCTTCAACCATTCTTTAGGATCCAAATCTATTAGTCTGATCATCACTACAAACTATTTATACTCATGGAAACATTGCTTCCATCCACATTTTCTGCATATGTGTGACCAATATCATCTATTTGAAAATATGACTATAAGATCGTAGGAAGCTTGCCTGAAACTATACTACACTTAGAAAGAACTATAGTGGTACCTAAAAGTGTATTGTATCCTATCTAGAAAAAATGTATACTTGGTGAACTTGCAATTGAGGAACTAGAGGAAGCTATTTCAGGTTGTATGCTTCCACTACACCCTTTACTACCATATCCTTAATTTTCTCTTTCATGAAATATATTCTTAGGGTCACTACATAATGAGAAACCCACAAAACTCTATGAAGCAAATATGAAAAAGCACAAAATTCACCCATCAGAGTAGAGAAAGAAACTAATTTAAAGTCATAGCATTGTATTTGTGTAACTGATTTAACAACTTACTTACTATGAGTGGAGAGGATAAAAATCTTTTTGAGAAGGTCATAGTTTTGATTTTGCTTGCTCTACTTCGAGTTGTAATTTTCTCTATTTCACGCCAAGAAGCTCTATTTCTTCTTGTCTCTCGTGGGTTTCAAAAACACCCTAATCCAGATCCCTTTTTTTATGCTTTGGTGGAACTGTTGGTTGATTTTTCTTCGTCGCAACAATTTATCGTTCACTATGGTGGCTAGATTGTTGTAGATGCATTGTAGTAGCTCATGATAGTCTGGTTCGCGAGTCTTTTGTTGGTCTAGTTGTGTTGCCGATGGTGGCATCGAAGCTCTATGGTGGTGGCTCGCGGTGGTTTCTAATTTATGCATGTGCAGGCGTTTCATTGTGTCACATCGTAAAATGTTGTGTGATGAAGGTGCATGGTGGCTGATGGTGGTGGCTAAGGTTTATGATGTGTTGGAAGATTAAATATGATGATGTGACAACATGTACATTGTGTTGAAGTGGCCACGTATGCAAAAAAACGAACATGTTATGCGTACACTCTATCATTAACGATTTAGATGATGTTATGAAAAAAGATTAAATAAAGAAAACATAAACTAAAGTAATATTAAACTGGATTATAAATACATTTGTAGCCATTTTTTTCTTAGTAATTTTTTTACTCTTTTGGTGTTCTTCACCTTTTCAGGTACTAACTTTTGTTCATTTGTTATATTTGTCTCATTCTTTAGAGTGATGTTAGTGGTATCCGTTAATATGCTACTTCTACCTATTCCTTTTATGAAATTAATGTAGATTGTTGGATTCTCTTTATATATTTTCTAAGATTTATTTATTTATTTACCCTTTTAGTGATAACTTCATTCATAATTTATTGAGTTATAATTTCAAATGATTTTAGTTTTTCGGATGATAGTTTAAAATGTTATCAGTTTTATTTATACTTAATTTTATTGTTTTTGCTTTCTCTTTTAATGTTTATATTTTATTATCCAGTATAAAATTTCAATTTAGAGATTCAAGTTTGATGTAATTTGAGTAATACTATTACTATAGGATGAGAGCCGACCGATCAGGTATGACTGTGGACTGAGTCGAATGGACCGAATGACTGAGGTACGAAAAAGGACTTCGTAGTCGATCGATCACGACAACAGTTGATCAGAGTTAAAGCGCAATCAATATGGTAACTGCTATTGATGAGTGGTTAAGGTTTGCATTAATTACCATTAATAGGTAAATTAATTTGTCAGATTCTTTTAAACTTTATCAATAAAGGTTTAATTTCGAGGTAAAGAACATTTTTCATAATGGAAGAGAAATTTTTTGACTTGAGTGTCGGAGTGTCTTCTTCAGGTCAACCCCCTCAAACCGATTTGTTACCCAGAGCAGACTAGAAGTAGACGTTCGTCCAGACAGGAGTGTTGCACAAGATTCATCCTCGTCCCAGTCCAGCAGAAACATTTTGGGGCGCACCGTAGGGCCGAGGATAAAAGAAGAAACCTAACCGAGACCATAAGGATGGCAGGACAACCAAACCTATTGGCGTTAGTTCAGGAGATGCAGAGGCAAATGCAAGCCATGCAGGCGATGATTGCGACTTTACGGGTGGAACGCGCGCAGGGCAAAGGGAGCAGTCGAATCAATAGTCGGCAGCACAAACCCATGCTCCTATAGTGGATGTTGCTCATACAAAGCCCGAAGAAGCTGTACAAGAGGAAAGCAATGTCAGGACCTATCCGGTTTGCCCGGCTAATGTTGGTCGGGGTGCTGAACTTCACCCATTCACGGTGGCTATTATGGAAGAGCCATTGCCTAAGAGGATGCCCCAAGCTCTGGACAAGTATGATGGATCGGAGGATCCAAAGGAGCATTTGAGATCTTTTGTGGACATTATGGCGATTTATTCGCCCAATGACTTGGTGTGGTGTAGGATTTTTTCCCTATCTCTTAAAGGAAAGGCTCTAGCATGGTTTCATTCCCTTTGCCCTCGGATCGTGGACAGTTTTGGTACGCTGAGAAATCTGTTTGAACAACAGTTTGCTTCAAGCTGGGCATAAAACCTTTCCTATATGGAATTGACGAAAATTAGGCAAAGAAAAGATGAAGGCCTGAGAGATTTTATGGACCTATACAATCAGACTGCATGACAAGTAAAGGACGTGGACAAAAAATTCATCATGAACACTTTGGCCACAACCTTAAGGTCTTGCTCCTTCGCGGATAACTTGTTCGCACGATCACCCGTAACCTGGGAAGAAATGCATAAGAGGGTTGTTGAGTTTATTCGGATTGAGGAGATACATGTTATCCATAAAAGACAGCATGAGGAGAATGCTTCGTCTTCGGGTCTGGAGCGAAAGAAAGGCAAGAAGCCGTTCGTTTCGGACGAGCATCATAAGAGTAACAAGTTCATAAATGGTCCAAAAGGACCTAGATTTAATCATTACCGATTTTCTATGTCTTTAAGACTAAATCAACTTTTCTATCATAAATGATTTTCTAAGTAAATAATTGAGTAATAATTTTACAGTGTAATTTAGATGTGATTCTTTAAAAACTTGTAAAATAAATATTTATCTCATTTATACGTTACTTGCGGAAGTATGTGTTCTTCATGTTTATATTTCTCAATTTTTAAGTGTAAAATTATAATATAAAAAATAAAATATATAACTTTGTAAGATTAAATAAAGAAATTATGTCATTATTTAAGTGAGAGGTTATTGGTTATGTATTTTGTTAAATAATAAAATTAAATTTATTTAATGAAAAATAAATTTTCTTAGTTAAAATTTACGCCAAAATTAGTTATAAAAAACGTACTTCTTAACTTTTTATACAATGATTAGTTAACACGGAACTTGAAATATGTAATTACATTTCACTATATTCTAAAAATAATAAAACAAATAATGAATTTATGTTGTGATAATAAGAGTGATAATTATTATTAGGCAATTTAATTAATTTATATTTGAGAAAAAGTACCAAAATTTTTTATCGTTAAAACTTCATGTCAACCATAAAAAGTATCACAGAAACCATAGTTAAATAAAACAAATAGTTTTAGGATAAAATAAAATAGTTAACGTACTAAAAGATTGAAGCTATTTTAAAAAGGGGTTTGTTTTTCACTTTATTACATCTTCTATTGGATCTTTGTTTCTCAAACCTCTTTTATCTTTTCTGTACTCGTCCTCTACATAATGAATATTTGAGGTGTCTACAAAAGATTATTTGACCCTTAAGTATGTGATATAAGTTAAAAAGTATGGTCAAACTATGATTAATGTGAAAAGTAAAGTTAAAACTAGATTGTAATATTTATAGGAATATTTTACTAACCATGAACCTTTACTTGGATGATCCTCGATTATAGGCCCATTAGCCCATTGCTCCAATGGTCATTTTACCTTTGGTGATGTGCAATCATTTTTGGCTAAGTTACGTGGTATATTGATATTTTCGGCAGGCAAAGATATGTTTTGGTAGGCGACACATAGCTCTAACACGTCCATCAATGGATGATACCTAATCTTTGGCTAGGGAAGCGTGGTACTAAGCGTCATACCATCAATATTCACTATATAACATATTGTTCTTACTTCTTTGGGATGTAATGTTCGGTCTTTAGTAGGTAGCTTAACCCTTACAAAATATTCAGTAATCAACATGTAACCTCTACCAAACACGAGGTATCCGATATTGGATATCTGTTTTGTTAATCAATTATCTTTATATCATAATTGATAGGATAGAAGGATATTTTTTACTTACATTCACATTTTTTTTTTATTTTTTACATTTGTGTTTGAATTTTTAAAGATTATATTGTATCTAAAATTTATTTAATCGAAGTCCATCTTTCACGTGATGTTTTTTCATTTATATTGGAGTTTTAAATATATTTGACTAAACAATTACTAAGGAGATCTTAAAATCTTATGTTATATTTTTCTAATAAATAAAACAAAGCAATATACTTTGAAGGGGTTATTTTTTCTTCAATATTATATTAATTGTAGGGGTTAGTTTAGGAAGACCAATATTATGCCACATTTTATCAAAATAATTTTGTTCAATCAATTCTTTTCCTCATAATTAATAGTAAATTCTATTATTTACCCATAACGAAGGATTTTGAATTCAATACTTAAAAATAAAATATGTATGTCACGTCTTTTAAATTAGTTAATCTAAAAGTCGGTAAATAAAAGTTGTAGATGACAAATTAATGTAATTTTTTCATTNTCTCTTTATATATTTTCTAAGATTTATTTATTTATTTACCCTTTTAGTGATAACTTCATTCATAATTTAT